CAGTGTAATATACAACACCCACACAATTTATAGGTACCTACTCAAACTCGAAAACAATCAATTTTTCTTAGTGATTAATCGTCATTCTATGATTCTCTGATTCTCATCGTAGATATTCAAAAATATATTTTACCGAAAATAATTCAAGTATAATATCGATCTGATACAATACAATATCATAACACTGTGCTCCGCCGTCGACCAACTGAATGCGTATCACTATCGGTCACTCACGCCGTCCTCGTAATCGTTCACAAGCCGTATACCTTCTGCAGTTGTATACCTGGGTAACCTAACGCGTTCATCTATATTATGTTGTATTAACCGTCGGCGACCCGAACCGCTGTATAGTGGAAACATTTTAATATATTATGTACTCTACATGAAGAACGAGTTCTGCCACAGTCTTGTATAATAGAATTTCGTCACTTCAATGCGATCACTGCGGTAGCCACGCGGCGGCATTCGACCGGGGGCGATGACGTCTCGAAGATGACTTTCGATCACGAGCTAAGCGAAAAAAAAATCCTTCTTCGTAGCCTCCGCAGCCGCCGCCGCACGACTATATCTTTTTTATTTTTTTCAGCTGTCGATCCGGCGACGACGGTTGGTGACCGTTTGTTCGTATTGCCGCAAACATAAAATAATAATATATTATTATTATCATCGTTATTATTATTATTATTATTATTATTATTATTATTATTATTATTATATACACGACGAGGATGTTCTTGCGAATGACGCGCAGAGAACAAAGTACGCACAGTCTATATTCGTGGAGTGCATATGAAAACTTAACTATTTCAGGGTACGTATTGTGTATATATATTGTATACCCAGAGAATAGTTTAATTTTTTTCATACGCTCGCGTGACCTCTTTCGTCGAGATTTATATTTACAACCACAGCGGGTTATATTATTATAGTCGCCGATGAAATTTTGCAAAGACCCTATATTATATAATATTATACGCGTATGTATATACAGTTGCGAGTATATAATATTTTACGTACGTGTGTGTGTGCATGTAGTACGTACATTATTATATATATGCACACAGTTATTATTAGAATACGCGACTGCTGTTTGCTGATTGTGTTGAATTGTGAGGAAAAACAAAGCTTCTATTATCGTTGACGCTGTTAATTTGTTTTCCGAATCAGGGATAATATAGATCACCTGCGATGACGCCGACGAGAATATTTTAATGAATTAAGATATCGAACAAAGTCGTTTTTCCGGCTCGTCTCGATTGCGTCACACCGAAGTAAAATACATAGAAGATCGTGTATGATAATTTATTAGGTATAATACTCACTGAGTTAGCTAGGTAAGTCAATAATGCACTTACGGTAGTACCAAGGCCGTAGCGGGGGGTTCGACCCCCCCCCCCCTCGAATTTTTTTTGAAATAAGATTTAATTATTTTTTAAATAATATTTTTATATTTTCATATTTTATAATATAATATAACATATTTATACTCTAACCCCCCCCCCCTTAAATATTTTTCTGGCTACGGTCTTGGGTAGTTCGTACTTTTGTCTTAAACCATAATTTTATTGTTATTGTTATCTGATACGTACATTCATTCATTCATACACATCGATGAAGAGACTACTTTTGCAGAATACTTTTCATGTTATCCTCGAGTATTCGAGTTATCGTCCTCGAGTATTTTTTATGAACAGGATAATGAAATACTGTCGTCTGAATCTAAACTGACACATTTTTTTTTAACGCCAAGAATACTTTTATGATATTCAAAATAAATATTTTCACATTATTTCCTACTCGTTTGATATTCAAAGATTTCCTTATAATTTCTTTTTGATTCATTAAATACATTTAAGTTGATATTATTTTATTTGATAAATGTACAATATTAGTACCTACACCAGAACGCGTAAGAACAATGAATACAATTGTAACATTGTTCGTTTGATTATTATTCACTGTATTGGAAAAATCGAACCTCACTTACTACGGATTACACATTTAAAAATCTGATTGTATTTAACACGTAACACAAATCAATGATTTTAAAGTTTTAAAAAAGACAAAAGTATCTAAATATGGCAGTAAATTGTATTTTCAGCGGTACACGATTTAGTCACTACCGTTAGTACTCATGCCTACCACCAGTTGTGTGGCGTCGGCCACCCGGGTCTCCTGGCAGTTGCAGTACTCAGGAGACAGGACTACTGCGACACCTATTCTTCCCGATTTTAGTAATAATCGGTGTTTGTCCGAAAGAATTCAATACATGTTTTAGGTTAAAACTCATGGGACCCGTACAGTTATAATTTTGCATAGGTAAGTTTTTCGACCACCACACAAACGTTTAAATTTGAACTTCTCAATGATTTACATGCCGGAAAAAGTTCTTGTATAATTACACACAACAAGGTTTAATTTTGAAATAAAATATAACTCGATTCGTATAATATGATATAATGTACCCCTGGAGAATACTATAGTATAGTATAGTATAATACTAGATTCAACCCCTCCCCCCCTCTGAAAACAGAACGAGGAGAGACCGAGTGCACACACCATACATTCATACACAATATTGTTCGTAGGGTATTGCGCATATATATGATATTATATATATTTAATATAACTTTATGTTTAAAGAGCGTAATATTGTCAGTAGGTAGGTATAGTGTGCGCACAATATTATAATGAACGACATGAATATTTTTTTAAAGTCGTCCCTCAGACCGTATAAAATTGTCTTTGCGCCTTCGCGGTCGCCGAATCGTTACCTCCACACGCCATGTGTCCGTGTGGCTCGTATGCATTATTGCTGAACTGCAATCGCGGTGCATACAATAGGACCTAACCTAATAATCCAACGACGTGGCGTCCAAAGTATTATAGTAATGTACATATATATATATATATGCGTTTACACAGGTATTCGTGGAGGTATATAAGTACCTATAAATATTAAGCAAAACAACAACGTACCTACATACACGCGCCGCCATTACGCTGCACGCGTTATATTCCTCGACCACTGCTGCAGCTCTATCTTCGGCCGTGTCGCGCCCTTTCCTGTCGCAGGTTTCCTCTGCACCTGAGTTTATAATACAACAATATTGTGTACAGGTATCATGTTGTATTATAAATAGTGTTCGCGTACACGCGGAGACTCCTGCACGTCGTCGTCGTCGTCGTCGTCGTCGTCGTCGTATACATACACATAGGTGCCCGCACACTATAATATAATGGGTGTACACAATTATATTTTATATTATATATTATTATATTCGTATGAACCGATGGTAACGAGACGCGACTTGTCCTATAATATACATGTACAACAGTATTATTAATATTGGGTACGTGCGCGTATAATATTGTATTATATTATGTGCAGTATACATACGAGTATATAATACGAAGTATACGACGGTCGAGGGAACGCGCTGCAAGTGTTATCGTAGGTCGTAATACACTGCTGATGTGCGGTTCCGATAGTGGAAAACGGTTTCTAAGCGAGTCGCGAATTTACGATTCCATATAATATATTATGTTATGCACATTTAATATTCAGCATTTCAACTTATCCGTATAAAACTAGAATAATATATATATATATTACTCTGCATACGTGCGTGTGTAGTGTACGTATTAAACATAAATTGAGTATAACTGATGAATACAATTAACATGTAATTTAACCTGACTTACACAGTTACATAGTTGACCACATCTGACTACATTTCGTTACACTCTGACTTGTACAGAGTCACTGTGTACAAGTCAAATGTGCTCACCCAGGGCTACTGTTGGTTCGCTGGAGCCGCAATCGGTTACATCGGCTATTAATTCAGTACATTAACCACTGACCAGTAATGTGTGACTAAAATGTTAGTATCTATATAGGTACGAGGTAATATGTCTAACATTGTATATATTTACTTTCCAGAGGAGAAAAGTTTCAAAAAGTTTATAATACTTTAGTTCGAGTTTACATCAGCAGACTCGAGTTTTTACTTTTAGGTGGGCTTAGACCGAGCAAATTTTTTAGCACATTAGCCTGCAGGGGATTGTTATGTATTCTATCGTGTTTAACTTTCGATTGCGATTTGTAATTTGTTTTTTTTTTTTTTTTGGAGTGCGATTATCGAACAAGGCTAAATTAGGTATTCATTGAAAATTAATAATAAATCGTTTAACTGAAATCTGATTTGGAGGAGGGGTTTATGTGTAATTCCACTGCTTCATTTGTATTATATATTATATACTATTATAAACACAGAATTAAAAATTAAATTGGACACAGACAAGAGTCGAACGTGTCACGTTAGTCACATAAAAATATTTTACACCCAGGGCATTGTGTACAAAATGATTGTACCAATAATTGTATCGTTCATATATAGCTAAAAAATAATCATGTATTAGTAATGTCAAAGATTTTTTTTCGTGATTCTCTACTAATATTTGCAACTGACAATATTGATAGTATGATAATATTATATTATGTTTATATGTGTCAGATAAGGTGCAATTATTTTTACCACTTATTATAGTTATTTTTATGATTTATTGGCGTATTGTAATATTGCACACCTATTACATAATAGTATTATAGTACCAATATTGTACCATTATTATGTTATTATTTGCATTTAAAAATGTACTTACTCATTTATTATCTGATAAGACCATAATACGACTATAGTCAATGGATGGACGGACTTTTTCAAACGACTTGTAATTTTTTTATTCTTAATTGTTGCTACTTTCTTTTATTTTCTAGAAATGCATCAGTCGCTGGAATGCAATGCGGAAAATGGCAGACGGGGGCCGGTGGATCCACACCATGGACAGGCCGATAACTTGGGCCAATCGTCTTAGTAAACGACAGCGACGAGTGACGACTACACAACCGTGACGACACTGAGTGCAGTTCTCAGGTATTAAGAGAGAAAAAAGTATATAACAGTACATTAATCAAAGTCGAGCCCAATAAACGCGACATGGAGACCGTCACTGTTGCCGAAGAAGAGCTGACCACTATGAAGTACGTCAACGCGACGACCGAGTTTACGGTCGAAGAGATAAACTCATTTTTTTTTTACGAAGTGAGTATTGGTGGCGATCAAAATCGGCTATTTCATTACGTTTTGATTTGAAAACAAATACGTTATAAATCATTACCAGTCAGGCGTATTACGCGGGTTTATTGTGCGTTCTAATATGCAAATAAAAAAATGACCTTCCTCCCCCGCACACAAAACAATAAATACGTCTATATATCAAACTGTATTATGGTACACGAAATCGTTGACGTTGAGTACATGTATTATTATAATATTATACTCACTAATTATACACATACCCATATCTATTATACTATTGGGCACTGCGAGTGGGCAGGCACCGGTGTCCCGACACGGATAACTACTACTATTGATTCTTAGCGGCGGCGGGAGCGGACACCGAAAACAGTAAATCCTCGCGAGACCCCGTATATTATGTGTGTATAGAACATATATATATATATATAATATACAGTAGACATTAGAGAGTGCGTCGGATTATTTATATGGTATAAGAATTAAACGAACAAACGGATGGCGCGTACGGTATTTGCGTTAAAACGATCGAGCTCTCCAGAGTGTCTTTACACGTGCGACCATACATAATATATACCTACCACGCGGTATACGTTCCAAACCGCGCTCCGAGTTCGATGTGTATATTACGATATAAATTTTAAGACGGAAACCGAATTCGTGAGATATAATCTTTAAAAGCATACGCGTACCGCCTTCATCGATGCTTGTTATTCTTGCTACCGCAGCTGCGCTTCGGCTGATACCACGCACACTCCGATATTATACGAGTCCTGCGAGACTGCAGTACCTAGACCGATAGATTTCCGTTTTCGTTCGCCTGCTGATTTTTAATTCTTTCGATTTCGAACTCGATTTTCCGACGCCGGTTTCTGAGAGATTGGAATTGAAGTTTTGATTTTTACATAGGCGTCCACCGGAATCTGTGTCCATCTTTTGGCGGTTTTTTTTTCCGGTAGCAGTTTCGGTTTTGATTACCGATTTTCGTTTTTTACGGACCGGTTTTGATATTTAAAGATATCGGTTTCAAGCCCTGCGTAATACGACTCTCTGCAAGCCCTGCCGCCACTTTTAATATGACGTACAACGCGTAACAAGATCATACATCCGTCAGTCGTGTATACTGTCATAGTATAATATGTCCTCGGACGAAAATAGACACTTTTCGCGTGGATAGGTTTTTCCTTCATGATTAAATTGAAATAAATATCACACTTTTTACGAGGTATTATAACAATTTATCATAGACCGGTATTGGTGTTCGTAGAACAGACGAACATAATACCTCCGACGGTTGTTCCGATAGCCCCCAAAACAACAATATTCGTCACCGCTGGTACTGCCGAGGTTCTGTATACGTTTGTGATGTACAGAACGTTTTACTGGTTTAGAGAAAAATCAAAGGAGAATGAACAATTTGAGTATTTGAAAATATGGTAGAATCATTAATGAAAAATCTGGGTATTTGAAAGTGCGGTCTTTAAGTGAAGATACTCGAAAATCTGAAAATACAAATAAATCAATGATAGTGGGGGTTAGATACCCCGGGTACGGCGGGTAGGTTAATGCTTGGTATTACGGTACAAGGCCACGAGGTATTACATACCGCAGGTCCACTGCTTTAATTGCGTTAGCAGGTCGAGGATTTCCATTTTGCGGTTTTTCCGCCCTATCGGTCGTGATAGCGTAGTCCGCTGGTGCGTTTCACCCCCGATTTATCACCCTGCCGAAGGGTAAATTTCACGTAAACGGCCAGCACGCCACCTGTAACCGGAAATGTCTATATCTTACACATATAATAATAATACAGACGAATCGCGCCTCTGCTAAATATATTATTATTTTACGCCTGGTGTGTAGTAATAATAATATGCTCGAGTCATAATACCACTGTCATGGCTGCTTTGTTATATATTATTATTATCTTTTAAATCAAACGCGCTGAGTATCATGGACGGTGAAGTGTATATTATTCCATAATATAACGAAGACTATCATATTATGATTGCATACTGGGCTAAACATTAATCATTTGACACATAATATAATAATATGAACCTACACGAGTACCATACATTATTATTATAGTATTGGATTGTGTCAAATATCACGGTATGTGCGTCTATAGGTGCATACCTATTGGGTATAGTATATACATGTACCAGCTATGTTTATAAATAATATATATTATATAGGTCACGGGTTCGTCGTTATGTACAGTTTAAATAGTACCAGATATCAGGTTTAAATTAGAAATATAAAAAAAAATCACATGAGATTATAAAACAATATAAAATAGTGTTCACATACGTTTAACGTTACTAACAACAATCTTAATCGCACTATTATAATATTATATTGTATTAAGTTTTAATCTTAATTGATAAAAATACAGTAACACTCCACCTTTATCGACCATATTCTCTTGATGCTTGAATGAGATAAATTTATCGAAAATCGACATAATATTGTAAATAAGATCATATAAATATTTTCTATGGTCAAAAAAAAAATGTATATATTCATCACTCACGCATTATCACACTGTTTTCGTCAATCCCGAAATAAATGTTTACCCATTTTCTTTCAGTAAAATACGATTGAGCATGGTTATCAGAGAAACATTTTAAGTATTACAATAAGTACGCTCCTTTTTTTCAACCAACATTTCTGAGGTAATTGTACTGGTGTACAAGTTACTAACCAAATGTAAGGGTTTTATCCATATTTCGTGCCATTCGTATAAGCTATTACTTAATATTTTGTAACCAATTATGTTTCAAGAAATCTCAGTGTTGATAGTTTTAAATTTTAGTTATGAGTCTATATTATAATCTACAAAATACATTTTCTCTTAACCCCGCATTCAAACAATTAACAAATATTTACAAAATCAATTATTTTCTCGAAGACATAAACAAAAATAACTAAGTTACTATGTTACTAACAAGCAGCAACTGTAACTGTGACTTTTAATGAGTCACAACCAATCCAGTAACTTTCCCATCATTGATTGTATATCAAAAATACAAATAAAAACATTTTCTATGTATCAACTTAGTGGTAAGTGTTTGACTGTCAGACATTACCAAAAAGACAAACAATAGATTAAACGTACAGATTTAACAAACCATACAATGTAAGGTTTCAATGAAAAATGTGCATGTTTCGGTTTCTTTTAAAATAATTATTTTTAAGCTGTTGAATTGTAGACATTAATTCTCATCAGAAATGTCTTCAAATTAATATCATTTTATACTTTATAAACATAGTCCATAAATATTAGTAATTAAATAACAAAATTATTATGTTACATTATAACAGCTACGAATCCAGATGTAACCACTAAAAACATTTTGTTGAAAAGTGTATTCATCGTACCTATAATGGCTATAGTAGGTACTACCTACATGATATTACCTCGCAAACCTAACCATCGAATTATATATTCAGACGGAAATCACGATTCGCGGGCGCATATGACAGTTTGACGACGTCATCGCCGTGTGCTTCTCCGACTTCTGCAACCGACTTAGGCACACATCGCCCACACGTTCGCACGTGCGAACCACCACAGAATACAATTAACGAGTCTCGGACGATCGCCAAATATCATATTAATAATATTAATAAATATAAGTAAAACGATAATGACATTATATCGCCGCATACGGGATTCGCATATTATATTATATACGTATTTTAACATATTATCGTATACGGCGATGATGTTTTAATGGCATTTGGCACGTACAGCTGTAATAATTTCATTATAAATAATTATAATTACGTTTTCGATATATCGTCGAAGTATAATATCGTATTGTATTTGCGATGAGTGGTGACCGATTATAATACAATGGAAATATCATACGCATAGTAGACACTATATAGGCATAAGCAATTCATTAGCGACGACGAACGGTTTTCTAATACGAAATATTAGCGTAAAGGTTAACAGAATACTACATGGCGTTTTCTGACATGTTTTTAAACAAAAGAGACTCCAAAAATAGTGCGTCTGGGCAGACGCATAATTGTTGTTACTATTATAGTGAGTACGACAGTAATAATAAGTATTCGACACATAATATTACTCGGACGGTATTAATATTTCAATGTGGTCTAGTATATATTATGTCTTTTCTTAATGACTTCACAGTCTGCAAAGTCCAATGAATTATGCGAGTAGTCACTAGTCGGATAAAAACTGATCTTTAAAAATACATCTCCTAATATAATATTATTAATATTAAATATTAATATTATTAGGCATATAGAAATATTCATAATAGAATATAGATAGAAGATAGAATAGAATATTTCGTAAATTTGACATTAAATTTTACTATTATTGTATTGCAATAATATTTAAATCCAACTATTAGTGGTGAAAAGCTGAGAGTACCCACTCCCAGCCAAACAGGCATGGCCCAAACCCTTGTCATGGCTGGGTAATGAGATTCATGAGATTTGGGAAAGGAGGGGGGGTATAAAACACTCTGAATTGTAATATACCATTAAGGCGTGTTACCTTATAAAATCTGTCATATTATGTAACATACGCGTTAACATAGGGATATTTTATTTAAATTTTAAAAAAAACTGTTTGTTCAATATCATTCAATAGATTTTATATAAAACAACATTTTTTTAAAAATATTCCAATTATTCGGGACATTACAAAATGAAATCAAAAATGTACTTTTCAGTAGGGACTAAAAAAAAATGTAGTGTAAAGTAATCTTATTGTATGCACTGTGCAGTACGAGTTTAGTAAGCAATACAAAATTAAAAAGTTTGTAGTAAAATAATTATTAAATTTGATACACTCAACTGCAGCCATTGCCTATTATTGATTATAGTGATCATAACATTTTGATCCGAAGTTGAAAGACCCACACGAGATATATATATATATAATATATCTCTGTTTTACAGCTTAAAAATATTTAAAAACGACTCTACACAGTTTTTAAATGAGTTATGAGCATTTTTAATTTGCA